AATTCTTAAGAAGGTCAGAGGAATGACTGGTGATTATGTGAGTGACTCATAAAGTGAAATGATGGAAAGACTGAACTGCGTAAGAGTTAAAAAAAATCTTTTCCAGGGCAATAGCGCTCTGTCTACACAATACAATAAATGGTTTAAAAATAAAGCTATCTTTCTGAGGAGAAATTCATGCAGAAATAAAAAAAAATAGAGCTACCTCTCAGGAGGCTGAGGCAGAACTACTTGAACCTGGGAGGCAGAGGTTTCAGTGAGCCAAGATTGCGCCATTGTACTTCAGCCTGGGTGACAGAGAGAAACTCCATCTCAAACAAAACAAAACAAAACAAAACAAAACGAGCCACTAATCAGTTGCTCTGACTAGCCAGCTGCTGCTAATTCACCCTGCAATGAACTGACCAGTTGCTCTGATGTCACAAGCATGAGCCACGTTAAGACAGTTTCATAAACTCCAATGTCATAACTTCATATACAAAGTATGTGAATATAAACAAATTCAAGTGCTGGCTTCAAAATTTTTCAGGAGTAAAACTGATTATTCAAGTATAAACTTAATTAAAAAGTAACGGGCAAATGATAGGAGGATTAAGCCCCAAAGCAAAGTCAAGCACCACCATGGGCATGGGCATAGGGACTGCTCATGCCAGTGGACCCCATTCTACTTGAGGGGGCCTGTGAGCTCTAATTGGCCTAGAGGAAGAGGTATGCCCAGCTTTTCTACAACATGACGTTCATGCTGCAGGGATTTCCTTGACAATTTCAGTTCTGAGTCAAAATCATTGGCCCTCTGTACAAAATGCTATTTTAAGGATGATTTCCTCCATAGGACTGCATTAAACAGTTTCCCTAAACAATGAAAAGTTCCTCAATCAAGCAAAAGGTATAATCAGTAAAACTGGGATGTTTTGTTTGTCAGATTATTAATGTCCACAGTTTAAAACTTATAATGTCTTAATGTCAATTAAGAAAAGGTCTTTAAAAAAAATCACTACTGGCTGGGAGCGATGGCTCACATCTGTAATCCCAGCACTTTGGGAGGTCAAGGCGGGTGGATCACCTGAGGTCAGGAGTTTGAGATAAGCCAACATGGCAAAACCCTGTTTCTACTAAAAATACAAATATTGGCTGGGTGTGGTGGTATGTGTCTCTAATCCCAGCTACTCAGGAAGTGGAGGTGGGAGAATTGCTTGAACCCAGGAGACAGGTTGCAATGAGCTGAGACCATGCCAGTGCACTCCAGTCTGGGCGAAAGTACGAGACTCCATCTCAAAAAATGGAAAAAAAAAAAAAAAGGAAAAAAAAAAAGAAAAAAAGCATTACTGCCTTAGGGCTTTTAATTATCTGATAGGACCTGGCACCTGAATTCCTGTTCATGAACAGAATTTTGTTGCTGCAATTATGATGCATTTTGTAGGGCACTGGGCACCATACATATCTAGAAATGAACTTGCAATAAATTAAACTTTTCTTGTTAACTCTGTTAGACACCATGGTTTTAATTTCACCATCTACTAATGATACATCTCAATCTTACGATTCTAAAATGTTCAACACAGTAACAGAAATAGATGGAAGGTTTGAGATTCATTTTTTTTTTTATTAAGCTTATGAATCCTTTTGTTTTGAAGTCAAAAATATCCTGGCCTATACATAATTGATTATACTCTAAAACAAAAGAACACAGATTAGTTATTTCTGACGGTACAGACCATCAAATTAAACTTGATCTATGCTACTGGAAGTCCTTCTAGATTTGGAAAGTAAATCATTTTCCTATATGCTAAGAGAATACTGAAAGACAAAGAGAGAAATATGAAGAGTCTTGGTTCTATTTATTCACTTTCCACATTATGTCTAATGAAACTTCATCACAATAGGGTTCTCACTTATCATTCTCTTAGATTGAAAAAATGGAGGCTCTTGAAAAATGTAATACCCTTTTAATATTTTTTAGACTTTCATTTGAACATAAAACAGGACAAATGCCCCAGAATTCCATTAATGTTTCTTGCAAATCAGATAATCAAATTGCCTGGATTTCTATTACTAGGAGTCAAGACAAGAAACTCCGCTGTCAAGAGACATTTTCAGAGGTTGCTTCTTTTAACTTCTTGGCTAAATTCCACCCCTACTCCCTTTTTTCTAGAACTATAAAGTCTCATGTTTATCTCCTGGATAATTTGTTGTTTAGACTATTTTTTAAAAATCATAGTAAAGCAAGAGTTAAAACAAATAGCCTAAACATTATCTTGAATCATTTAAAAATCCTTTTGATAAATCAAAACTAACTGGAGGCAGTTAGTCAACGGCTTGACCTCTGAAGGTACATTCCATTCTTTCCTTTAAAAAATATGAACTGCTGAGGCAGAAAATCTCTGGGAGTCAAACTTGGTAAAACTGTCCCCTTAAAACAAATGTAAATCGTGATTTTTACAGGTTTGTAAAAATATATATAGTTTGTCATTGTCATTTAACTTTCATTACAGAGTTAGAAGGAATATTTATAGCCCAGTGAGGTTAGAGAGGAGAGCCAGCCTGAGTTTGTGGGCTGTCAATTCCCAAATGTTCTAGAACAAGTACCCAGTATAGCTAAAGAATTTCCAATAATTTTTCCCTGCAAGAGAAGGGTTTTCGCAATTCTTACACAGGTTCCTGCTGAGACATGTGGATGTTTGGTGGGGGGGGTTCATCTGCTATTTAAGTGACATACTGTGCACTTGTATCTTATACTCTAAGGGCCCATGAATCAAGTCCTTGATATATTCTGAAAGAATAAGTGAAAGTACCAAAAAGAATTTTGTAATTCACTCTTAGAATCTAAAAGATGCCTGGACCATGAGCAAACGCCTTTTTGAGCTGGAGACTGACGTGCCAATTAGTGCGGTGTCATCGGAATCTAAATCTCCTATTTTAACACAATGCCCTAAAAATACTGACATTTTGGTTTGACAGCTACAGGAAAGTTAGCTTAAGGATATTTTCATTACTCTATTTCCCAGAGTTTAATTCAGAAGGGCCTCCTAGACCAATTTTCCTCCTTGAGAACAGAAAAAAAGGTACATACAAGACTTAAAGAGAAGTTGTGAAATTAAAGGTGGTTTCCTTTCCCTTTAGATATGTAAGAATAAGAGAAATCAATAACCTCGAGAAGGACATCAGCGCACATAGAGGCGGAGATCAAGCCTTAACACAGACGTTCTGGTCCTTTCAGACATCCAGAAAGTGTGTACACAATGAGGAGCAGGCAATTCAAACAATATTGTAAAAGGGTCACAAGAAAATAAGTTACTTTGAAAAGAACAAAATCTTTCAGCTGCTTTGTGTAGAACTTATCCTGACTGCAGCTGACAAGCAGGTGATGGAGGTTTCATTTGGAACCAGAAGGGCTTGCAGTAGGTACTTCTCCCCAGTCACTTCTTACAGAGAGTTTAAAATGAAGAACACTTAATCATAATCTTACATTATGTTCTTTTAATCACCAGATGATAGTTCATTAATTATCATAGAATCAGAAAAACACTTGTGTGAAAAGAGTTCTGGAGACCACTGGTTTGTAGGATTGGACACCTGCAAAGAGCTTATTTCAATTTCTCTGAAAAGAGTCAACATATACTTGTAGCTAATTAATAATTTTCTCTTCTGTTCAGTTCTGAGCGTTTTAAAAAATGGCCCTGTATTGTAAGCAAACCAAACAATTTTTATAGACGGGCCTACATCTCAATTCCTTTGAATCCAGCCTCTTCTCCAAAAGAAACTGTTCCAAAGAAAGCACGAAATGTGTATTAGGTCACTGCTTACTCAGGTTAATAATCCAAAATGTGTTCAAAATAAAAGACTGCTTCTGACTTTAATATTCATCTTTGCATTTTAGAAACAAACAAAATAAGTAAAAGCATTTTTTCCCTGCTTTCACTAAGGATTATGGATCTGAGACAGCAGTTTGTTGTTGTTGCTAAGCATTAAAAGGATATTACATGAGAAACAGTGCCAAGTCAACTTCTTAGGCACACTGATGAAAATGAGGGAAGGGGCCCAGAAATGCCTAAGTATAAGCTTCATATCACTCATTCTGTTAATAAAACATGTGGCTATAATAAAACAGAATCACGCCCTACATATGGGAGGCAGCGTGAGAAATCATGAAATCAGCAAAGGCCTGACAAGATGGACCCACGTTGGGGTAGGTACAGTAAAACATCACGTTAAGATCAGACGCATCCAGATGCCTCATCAGTTAAGAGGAGGCTCAGAAGACCTTGCCTTTCCCCATGCGTGGAGACACCATGCAATCACCAACCGCTACTGGTGGGTTTGGTGGGAAAAATGTGAAGGTCATATATTTGTACCATCTTTTGGTAAAGTAAGATAGAAGAGGTCACACACGCTTTGTCTCTTCAGTAATGAGTCAAGCAACCTCTGTTTTTATTTTGTTGTCATGGAGATAGAGGCCCAGCAGTGGGAATTCTAGGGACATACTAGGGCGGTAGCCAGATGCCTGTGAACCATCTGGATGTATACAGAAGAAAGTCAAACTACTTTCAAGTGTAAAGGGCCTAGCCCTGGAAATCACTTGGCTTCTCTAGGAGCTTGCTAATTTAGCCCTGGGGAGGAAGCAAGATACAGGGGATGGAGCATCCACATGTTTTTTAAACAAAACAAAGTTAGAATTTTTACTATCTACATTCTTTCTATATAATTTCAGAAGATAGAAAAAAAAAAAACACAATTCCAAATGCTTAAGATATACAACAGGGAAAAGGGAATTGTTTTTTACTTAATCTGAATTATAATTTTCCCATTAAAATTTATCCGTATTAAGTGGGGGGCACACAATAACAATTATTTTTTAAAGTTTCAGCTGTTGAGTTTAAGGATAGCTCTGAAAACACAATTTAGTTTGAAATTCAAGCTGTTTCATTTCCTATTTAATCTTGTAAATTTCCTTCCCTTACAATACTCAGGTTGGAAGGGTGCCAAATTAGACCAGGAACAAATTTTCACCAACTTCACTTCAATGCTTTATTTTTAGATTATATTAAAAATCTCATTAGGCTCCCTGAGGGAAAAGAGTGTTAACCACTAACAGAGGCAGGGGAAAATAAAGGAAACAGAAAGATCAGCTAAATTGTTAACAAGGAAAGCTCTCCTGAAACAGCTGGTCTGAGGCTGCTGTACAAGCTAAGAGAAACTTATTATCAAGACCAGGTAAATGACTTGAAATTGGAGCTTAATCTTTTACCCCCAGGCTCGTAAGGACTAGTCAGGCTTGTCAAAGTGGCATATGTCTTTATTATGATTTACAGACGGGATCTGGCAGGAGGCGGGTGGGTGGCAAGGAAGGCAGAGAAACCTTTAAAGACTGACGCTAAGTGCTCTATGCCTTTATACAATACCAGTGTGCTTGAGTCTCCCGTTAAGAGGCTGAAAACTGGGCGGGCATACGCAAGACTGGGTGCAAGATTCAATGGAATGTCAAATGAAACTTAGAATTTATTAATGTATTTACATAACTTATAATCTTTAAGCAATGGCCTCATAAATATAGGCTACAACTTTACATACGCTAAGCAACAGATACTTGTTTTTCCCCATCAAAATACTTGGGTTAAAAAAAAAATTGACAGCATTTACACCAACTTCTTTACTTCCTCTCTTCTTCCTTTTTAAACAATTGCTAGTCAGTTAGAACACATGAAACTCAATTTATTCCAGGCAGCTTCTCTACCATCACCATCTTGATCATGAGAGCTTATTTTAAAAAGGTGCCAATAACATGTTTGGTGGCACACACATGACGAGGTCAGAAGCAAACCCAGGGTGAGCTAGGGATCTGCTGCTATCATTGCTAATTTACTGTACGTATCCTAGGCTAACATAGGCAATGAAAAGTGCTTTAGAGATGGCAGAGATGAAGTCATTTCCATCAGTCCTATAAATAACCCATTTTAGCTTCAGATAATAATTGTCCTTTCTCCACTTAGACCATCCTACTATAAATGATACAACTCCCTCTAACAGTGGTAACAGAAACCAAGGAAATTATAATCTCCACAAGGTCTTTTTTTTCCCTTAAGAACCACAAAAGTGCTAATTTTCCCTTTACAAATGTTACATAAAATCTTGATTACAAAACTACTCAACAATTTAATCTTACCATCCATACAATTATATGTTCCTTTTCAGCAAAGTCAAAAGCCAGTGATGTAGTCCCTTTGTACACTAGAGATTCTTTACATAATAGAAGTCCACAGACTGAAATATCATTGCTGCAGTCTTTGGAGAAGAGACTGGTCAATATCTATGAATCCTTTTTGCACGGAGAAGACTCAAGACCGGCTAGGTGGAAACTGGTGGCAGGACCCCAGCCCTCCTGCTAACTGTCAGGACCACCAACTTCATCATCAAGTCTGAGAGGCTGAGGTTCGGTCAGCAGCAGCTGCGCTTTGGCTCTGAAGGCTGTCTTCGGAGTTTGAAGCCCTTACCGCCAGATGGCGGGTTGGCGTCAGTGGATGGAATTCTTCGACCTAAAGCAAGATAAGAAGAGGGAAGGGAATGAGATTTAACTTTCTAAATCTGTCCATGCTCAGACACAGCAATTTTACAGATGCAATTTGACAGGTTTCACTGAAGTAAAAAAAAAAAAAAAAAAAAGCCTAATAAAGTTTTTATGCTGGAATAATTTTAGATTTATAGAAAAGTTGCAAAGATGATATAGAGAGATCCTGTGTATCTCCCACCCAGTTTCCCCAGTGTTGATATATTACCATGGGACACTTGTCAAAATGAAGAGTTCAACATTGCCACATCACCATCAACTCTAGACATTTTTCAGATGGCACCAGTTTTTCCGCATGTCCTGTTGCTGCCCCAGCATCCAAACAAGGGTATCACACAGCACTTAGCAAAAGTTTTTTAATTAAAAAAAGCCACACATTAGAACATTTTGTTCTGAGTAGGTAATACATATGATTTATTTTTGAAAAGTTCAGTCAGAACATGGCTGTTCCTCTATCTCATGACCAAGGCCACCACTGCGACCTATTTCTTATGCAGCCTTCCAGAGACATATATGCACAAACACTCACAGGCACACCTATATCCCTACCCACCTTCCCTTTCCAAGGCCAAATGGGGCAATAAATAAAGCAAACTGTATGCACCATTCTCCATCTTGATACTTTCACTCAAAACATCCTGGGGATTGTGGTATCATAGTACTTGGAGAAAGAGTTGCCGACTATTTCTTTTTGAGACAGGGTATCGGTTCTATTGCCTAGGCTGGAGTGCAGTGGCATGATCTCGGCTCACTGCAAACTCAGTTTCCTAGATTCAAGTGATTCTCCCGCCTCAACCTTCTGAGTAGCTGGGACTACAGGTGTGCACTACCATGCCCGTCTAATTTTTATATTTTTAGTAGAGATGGGGTTTTGCCATGCTGGCCAGGCTGGTCTCGAACTCCTGACCTTAGGCAATCTGGCTGCCTCGGCCTCTCAAAGTGCTGGGATCACTGGTGTGAGCCACTGTGCCTGGCCTGCGGCTTTCTTTTTAACAGCTCTAAAATATTGCATTTATAGACGGGCCAGCACTCATTCAACCATTTCTCTATTGCTGGGTATTTAGTTTGTTTCCAATATTTTGATGTTATTAACAAAGATGCAAGAAGCATCTTTGTGAACTTATGAGTATATGTGTAGGACTGATGCCAGGAGTGGAAGAGCTATGTCATGCTATGCTACTCCTGGTACTTGTCTGACACATACACTATATTCCAGTGTCTATCTAGCACAAATGCAGGAAGAATGTGCAATTTAAATTTTGACAGATGCTGCCAAATTATCCTCTGAAAAGGCTGTGTCACTATATTCTCCTACCAACAATGCATGAGAATGAACAGGTTTCACTTTACTGCTCTGTGAAGCATAATGCCAATTTCGAGAGAATCCTTAAATCACCCATCTACCTACCTGGCTGATAACTCAAGGGTTGCTTATTGTACAAAGGCTTTCCTGACACCCTCCCACTTCCTTACTCTCCAGCATCTCAGATACTACAATCAATCAGGACTCCAGAAACAGGTTATTACATATCTCATATCTGTTTACATGACTATTTCCCTCACATTAGACCCTAAGCTCTTTTAGGGAAGAGACCCTATTTGTTCACCTTTATGTTTCTAGTATCTTGTCCATCTTTATGTTTCCAATATCTTAACAGCACAATACCTGACACAGACGTATTTTGTAAACATGGAATAAATGGACATTAACAAAGCTAAGATGGCCCCTCTGCTGACTCTCAGGTTCTTAGCTGTCAAGTCTTGAGCCTCCATCACTTTGAGTTGTCTGCAGATCTGTGTGGGGAGTACGCAGCATAGTTTCCACACTGATAAAGTATTTCCCAGTGTCTTGTAACTACTTTTCAAATGACTAGACACTGCTGTGAATATACTACAAATTTGTTTAAAAGCTTTACTGAAGCTTCTCGTCATTATTCTCAATAAATGGATATTGAAATATACCCGGTATCACAGACATCTATGAAATATGACATCAAAAATTGTGGAACAAATAATATTTTAAGAAGAAAGCAGAGGAGAATATTTTCATGGGCTGGGAATAGGTAATGATTTCTGAAATAGCAACCAAAAAAATGAAAGCAGCTAAACATGAAGGAAAATAAGGATAAATCAGATTATACGAAGATTAAAAACTTAGATTCACTGAAAGAGTTGACTAAAAAAATAAAAGGCAAGCCATACAGTAGAAGATACTTCCAATATACACAGTCAGTAAGTGGCTCATACCCGAAATAAAGAATTATAAACAATTAAGAAGGCAGGTAACCCAATAGGAAAACAGGTAAAAGACTAAACAGGCACTTCACAAAGGAGGATATGTAGATACAATAAACGTGAATAAATATTTGGAAATGTGCTCAACTTCATTAACTGTCATGAAAATGTAGATCACTGCCTACTAACCAGAGACAAAGTGACCCCATTCTCATACACTACTGATATGGGTGTCAACTAATACAACCACCACTCTGAAAACTCGTTGGCAGTAAAGCTACACTGAATGCATGCATACTCAATGATCAGCAATTTTTCTTGTGAGTATAAATATACTTAACAAAAATGTGTACAGATGTTCACCAAAGAATAAGATCAGAATGTTTGGAGCAGTACTGTCTGTAATCACTCTAAACTGGAAACAGCTACCCAAATGTCTATCCACAGCAGAATGGATGTAAATTACTTTGTAGATATTACCCTTACCCCTACAACTCAGACTCTGACACTGACACCCACAAATCAGCCATGAGAATGAAAGACGCCAGACACACAAGAGGAAACAGAGAACGTTTTACAAAATACAAAGTACAAAATTTATGTAAAACAAAAACAGGTAAACCAATCTGAAGAATTAGTATCAGGATGGTTACCCCTGGGTGTAGGAACTGCCATGTCCCAACCAGAGTGCCAAGCACTGGAGTATATTCGATTTGCAAAAATTCGCTGTGCCTTGCACCTCTGATAAGCACACATTTCTGTATGTCCATAACACTTCAATACAAAATCAGTGTGCCAGGCACTGTGCGCATGCAGTTTTACTAAACCAGTGAATAATAAAGTCTATGTACATATCTCTCAATTTTTCTAATCTTTGTGAACATACAGGTTTTATTTTTCACAGTTAAAATCAATATGTACATACTAGTTTTTATATAAGAATTTTCATTTTTGGCATAGATTACTACCTTCCTTTTTTTGTTTGTTTGTTTGAGATGGAGTCTCACTCTTGTTGCCTAGGCTGGAGTGCAATGGTGTGATTTTGGCTAACGGCAATCTCCACCTCCTGGGTTCAAGTGATTTTCCTGCTGCAGCCTCCCAAGTAGCTGGGATTATAGGCATGCACCACCACGCCCGGCTAATTTTGCATTTTTAGTAGAGATGGGGTTTCACCATGTTGGCCAGGCTGATCTCAAACTCCTGACCTCAAGTGATCCACCCACCTCAGCCTCCCAAAGTGCTGGGATTATAGGTGTGAGTCACCACATCTGGCCTACCTTCCTGTTTTTAATACCACTATAGTCAAGAACACAAAAAGACAGTGGTAATTTTAACATACTCATGACGCCACACACTTAGATATCTATTTTAGCTTGAGCTGTGAAAAATTCCCAACTGGCTTTATGTTGCCTTTCAAAAATCCATCTGGGTATCTGTTATTTACATCTAGGACAACAATACACATGATTTTTGTTTTTTAAGAGATAGGGTTTTGCTCTGTCATCTAAGTTGGAGTGCAGTGGTGCGATCACTAGCTGACTACAGCCTCAAATTCCTAAGCTCAAGTCATCCTCCCACCTCAGCTTCCCAAGTGGCTAGGACTATACGCGCACGCCACAACACCCTGTTATTTTTATTTATTTATTTATTTATTTATTTTGAGATGGAGTTTCGCTCTTGTTGCCCAGGCTGGAGTGCGGTGGCGCATTCTCGGCTCACCGCAACCTCTGCCTCCTGGGTTCAAGCAATTCTCCTGTCTCGCCTCCCAAGTAGCTGGGATTACAGGCATGTGCCACCACGTCTGGCTAATTTTTTGCATTTTTAGTAGAGACGGGGTTTCACCATGTTGGCCAAGATGGTCTCCATCTCTTGACCTCGTGATCCACCCTCCTCGGCCTCCCAAAGTGCTGGGATTACAGGCGTGAGCCACCGTGTCTGGCCCTATTTTTATTTTTATTAGACACAGGGTTGTACTATGTTGCCCAGCATGGTCTTGAACTCCTGACCTCAAGTGATAATCCTTCCTCAGCCTCTGGAGTAGCTGGAATTATAGGTGACAACCACCATGCCCAGGCACATCGTGACTTTTTAACATGACTTTGAAATGAAGGGGCTGGCCTAGATGGTGCAATCAGTAGTTCACTGGCCGTATTTGGTGGCAGGTGGGCTCTTTAGGCCTGCAAAGTACTCTGAAAATACTTGAATTATTGCCCAAATCTAAACAATAGGACATGTTTAAAAAAATGTGAAAACCACCTTAGCAACCAGGGGCCCACATTCCAGCGTGGCCCCAACTGATGAAGCTGGGCCTGGCCTGAGCTAGGGTTCCCAGGGCTTCACCTGGGCCTCTCTGCTCATGGGTCGTCCTTGCCTGGTCTTGGTGGGCTCTGGGGTTCATGTGCCTCCTTGACACAATGGCCAAGGACCCTCCCTGCCTCAGTCACCTTGGCTCTCATCTTTATTTTTATTTTTTATTTTTCTGAGACGGAGTTTCACTCTTGTTCCCCTGGCTGGAGTGCAATGGTGCGATCTTGGCTCACCGCAACCTCTGCCTCCTGGGTTCAGGCAATTCTCCTGCCTCAGCCTCCTGAGTAGCTGGGATTACAGGCACACGCCACCACGCCCAGCTAATTTTTTGTATTTTTAGTAGAGATGGGGTTTCACCATGTTGACCAGGATGATCTTGATCTCTTGACCTTGTGATCCGCCCGCCTCGGCCTCCCAAAGTGCTGGGATTACAGGCGTGAGCCACCGCGCCTGGCTGGCTCTCATCTTAATGTGTAAGTCCACCCTGCTCTGATGGCTTTCTGCTTTTTTCCACCTGGAAGTCTGACATGTTCAGTTCATGTGACTCCCCACAGCTCTGCAGGGCCTGCTCAATTGGACCTTAGCTCTGAGTGCCTCCTTAGAGAGGCCTTCTCTGATCACTTGCAGACATTGCTTCACTTCATCCTAAATTATTTTCTTCGAATTCCTTATTATGATCTGAAATGATCCTATTTATTTGGTCTTCACTGTATGTCTCCTGCTGTAGAATGTGCGCTCCAGGAGAGCAGGGGCTGCATCTATCTTCTTCAAGGCTATTTCCCCTGAGCCTGGAGCAGCTCCCAATAAATATTTTGATGAATTTGAATGAAATGAATAAACATAGATACAATCTGCAGAGGATCCCAAAGGCATGCAGCAGCCTCTCGCCCGTCTAGTATCATCATATTAACACTTCAGGAAAGGGAACAGAAAGGGGGAAAACAGGTCTTACCTTTCACTTGCCTAGCATTATTTTTTGAGGGTTTTCTTACAGTGGAATTATACCTGCATTTCATTTCCCTTTATTGAGTTCATTTTCAATCACCTTGGATGACTAACTGAAACACATTTAAATAGACAAAGAAATGGACAGCTTTCATGATCTCTATGCCCTGTACATTATTTATTCAGTAGCAACATTCTTTCTAGAAGGGCAGCAGCTCTTCAGGAACTGTAACATGATAAAAACTGGCCATCACTCTTACCTTCTCCAATCTCATTTCATTGAGCACAGTATCAGAGACTAGATTGCTCTAAGTAAGATAGGAATTCTAACCAGGAAGATCATTCTGTGTTAAGTTGCTTTTACACAGGAAATGGATAAGGCACAGAGATACTCACTAATTTCTATAAAGAGTTCATTTATGTTTATCGCGTTTTTTGCGCTGGTCTCTACAAAAATTGCATGAATAGAGTCGGCGTAGTCCTTTGCATCTCTCTCCATGACTTCTCTGGAAGGCAACAACTGCATATCAGAAATTCTACCCAGGAAGATCTTGGTTTTATCCCCACCTAGCCAGTAGTTAACCAGATTTATGATGACAAAGGATGTCCTGAATGGCTGCCAGATGGGCCCTGAGACATGGTCTTCCCAATTACACCACATCCACGGTTAAACAAAACAAAACACAACTCGCCAAAATTTTCAGAAAGCCCTTGCTTTTGGGACTGATGGAAGTGGCCCAGAGAAACTGTTAATAAATGTGCTTTCTGCATTCAAGTATTCTAAGTTATGGGAGCCTGGCGGCTCCTCTGATTTCAGACAATGTTGGGTGCAATGCAACCAGTGTTTCTGTAAATTGCACTCCTGTCTATATACATAATGAGCTTCAAATGCCTGAAATCTGAATTTTCGTTTGAAACTTCAGGACTCCAACCACATAACCAAAAGGAATTTTTCAATGTCAGAGATAAAAGCAAGATTCTTATACTGGATATTGCTCATTAAGAAAAGGAACGCATAACAGGCATTGTAATCCTTGTTCTAATAACTTACCTTACATCAATAAGATCACACTTATTTCCTGCAATGGCAACTACAATATTAGGTGGGCCATGCTGTCGAAGCTCTTTCACCCAATTCTTTAATGTTGAAAATGTCTCCTGTAACACAAAGGAGAGCAACTGGAGATGTAAGCAACTAAAAGAGAGTTTTCAAAACTGTCTAAAGAAAACTATATAGTCTTACTTCTTTTGTGATATCATAAACGATTATAGCTGCGGCCGACCCTCGATAGTACATTGGTGCTAAGGCACGAAACTGCAGAGGAAGGGGAAAAATAAACAAAATTGGGGAAATTGGTTAAATATGTTTTTTACTAGACTTGTAAGCCCATTATCCCTGCACAAAAGGTAATCTTTCTCTTAAGCCAAAGAAAATGACATGCTGCTTTAAAGCAAATGAACCAGTAATTACCAAAGGCAAAAACTTTTAATGTAACACTGAAATGTCTCTCAGAAGATAGTTTAGAATACAGTTTTATTGAAATTAAATATGGCACTATAAACAATTGTTTTAGCTAAAAAGGCTTTTTAATTGAACTCAATGTTATGATTCCCAAATTCATTTGTTCAACAGTCCTTTCAACTTTGGCTTCCCTAACCACCACGGAGATAAAAACGATGCTGTAAACAGTTCCCCAGAGAAGTGCCTGCATTTGGGTGTCATGAAGAAAACCCTGTAATCTAAACACTGATTGTCCTTCAGAAATGAGTACACATTTACGTCCACTACTTAGATGAGTTTGTGACTTGCTTTTCTGGTATCTCCATGCGTGGCAATTCCCAAATGCTGGGTGCAGATCTCATTTCATTTACATGAATTTAACCCTGTATACACAGCTTCTTCCCACTCATCATCCCAGCGCCTGCACCCCATGACACACAACAGGGAGGAAAGAGAAAGGAGAGGAATAACCATTTAAACAACAAGCGTGACTTAAGAGAGCTATTTCTCTTGATGAGTGTGAGATGGAGACCATGAAGCTCTTTCCTCTGTCAACCTCGGTTCTTGGGCACACGTCTGGTGTGAGCACCTCAGCCACTGAATTTGATGCCAATGTTTAATGACAAGAATTTCGCTTATACTTAATTTTCGTCTTACACCCTGACTCTGAAGCCTGACTCCGACTTATGATCTGATGCCAATGTATTCGCATCCTGTTGTTAATGGTGGTTTACCCTGAACACAGGCAGGCATTAGTACAGGGAAGCATTTGGTGCATATACATAAACCACATACATGCTATGGATTCTGGAACTCCTTATTCACTGAGTTTAACCTTTTGGCTTTTAAAGTTTCATATTAATTTTAGTTTTACAGAAGAAAGTGGAATTCTGACTGTAAGCTCCATGAGGGATGTCAGGATGTCAGCATGTCTGCTGAACACACCATTTTATCTCAGGGCCTAGCATCTGGCACGCTACAGGTTATCAAGAATTGGTGAACAAACGAGTAAGAACTGTGTGAGTGTGGGGAGCTGTCAAACTAAGTGTCAGACCTCAATGTCCATATACAGAAACTGTTACTAGGCTTTGTGAGAGAAATCCCTGCCTCTGGGGTGAAAGCCTACTAACTTCCAATAAAGGAGACATTAAGTTTTAGAGAAAAGAGAACAAAAATAAAGGTTACAAGCAAGAAAGCAGCACAGAAAAGAAAACTATATTATTGAGTAAAAAACATATAAAGTGTTGGGTTGACTTTGACAGTGTAAGAGAAAATGAAACAGAAGTACACAGATGGAATAAAGGTTATGGTATTAGCTTTCATTTTTGATGTACTTATATTGGCAATGTCCTTTACAGGGTTGTGTTTTCTTCCTTCAAATTCGTAAAGTAAAACTCATAATAGAGAAAAGCAAAGATCTTAACAGTACAATCTGATAAACTAACAAATGTATATATCTGTGTGAATGCCATCTACTAAGATGTCAAACAGTTCTATCAACATGGAAAGTTCCTCAATATTCTTATCGTGTCCTCCTTCCACCTTGTTTTCCTGTCGATTTTATGGATATTATATAATCACATGGGTTTCTTTTATTATGTGCATACAATATCCTTTACCATTCTATTATTTCCTAACCTCGTTTTCATATTTATAGTAGTTCTCTTATAACCAGCACATAGTTGGGCCCTGATTTTTGACCTTTGCCTTATAAGTGGACGGTTCAGTTCCTTTACATTTAATGTATTTACTACTACATTTAGATTCAGGTTTACCATTTTATTTAGTATCTGTTCCATTTCTTTTAAAAATTCCTGTTCCTCCTTTCTTTCTCGCTTTTGCACTGCCTGAATTTTTCTGTGTTTATTTTCAGTGTATTAACTTCCTGCTGACTTCTGAGCTCTACTTGCCTGTTTTTTAAGTTGTTGCTTTTGTAACGATAACATATACCGTGTAGTTTTCTTTTCCTTTTTTTTTTTTGAGACAGAGTCTCGCTCTGTCACCCAGGCTAGAGTGCAGTAGCGTGATCTCAGCTCACTGCAACCTCTGCCTGCTGGGTTCAAGCGATTCTTGTGTCTCAGTCGCCCAAGTAGCTGAGATTACAGTTAAGTGCCACCATGGCCAGCTAACTTTTGTTCTTAGTAGATCTGGGGTTCTGTCATGTTGAACAGGCTGATTTTGAATTCCTGGTCTCAAGTGATCCACCTGTCTTGGACTTTCAAAATGCTGGGATAACAGGTGGGAGCCATTGTGCCTGGCCTACTATATGTTTTTCTAGAGTTTAAAATGTACCACTTGATGTAAAGTATCAGAGACTTGCAAAAGTCTAATTTCTGTTATCCTACCATTCTTTGTGCTACCACTATCAAATATTCTGAATATGGCCAGGCGTAGTGACTTACACCTGTAATCCCAGCACTTTGGGAGGCCGAGGTGGGTGGAACACCTGAGGTTAAGAGTTCAAGACCAACCTGACCAACATGGAGAAACCCCGTCTCTACTAAAAATACAAAAATTGGCTGGGTATGGTGGTGCATGCCTGTAATCCCAGCTACCTGGGAGGCTGAGGCAGGAGAATCGCTTGAATTTGAGACGCGGAGGTTGTGGTGAGCCAAGATTGTGCCATTGCACTCTAGCCTGGGCAACAAGAGTGAAACTCTGTCTCAAAAAAAAAAAAAAAAAAAAAAATTCTAAATCTACATATACTATACAATCCAATGTTATAATTTTTGAATGAAATAGCCAGTTATCTTTTGCATAACTTAAGAAAAACAGATGTTTCTATTTGCCATTTCTAGTGGTTATTATTTCATCTGAATTACCATTTGGTGTCATTTCCCTTTAGTGTGAAAAACTTTCTGGGACATCTGCTGTTGATTTCTGTTTCTGTTTTTCTTTTTTTTTTTGAGACAGAGTTTCGCTCTTGTTACCCAGCCTGGAGTGCAATGGCGCGATCTCGGCTCACCGCAACCTCCGCCTCCTGGGTTCAAGCAATTCTCCTGTCTCAGCCTCCTGAGTAGCTGGGACTACAGGCACGCACCACCATGCCCAGCTAATTTTTGTATTTTTAGTAGAGATGGGGTTTCACCTTGTTGACCAGGATGGTCTCGATCTCTTGACCTCGTGATCCACCTGCCTCGGCCTTCCAAAGTGGTGGGATTACAGGCGTGAGCCACTGCACCCGGCCTTCTGTTTCTGTTTTTCTAAAAATGTTTTTACTTTGATTTTATATTTGAAAAGTAATTTTGGCGAATTAATAGGTTTTTGCTCTTAGCACGTTAAAGATCCTGTTCCACTGGCTTCTGGTCTCCATTGTTTCTGTGTCAAGTTAGCCATCATTCATACTGTTATTCTCCTGTTTATGTGTCTTTTACCTCTGGCTGCATTCAAGACTTTCTCTTTGCCTTTGGCTTTCAGCAGTCTATGATTTACCTAGGTATGGTTTTCTTTGCAATTAGAGATTTGTTGAACTTCTTGGATTTGTGAGTTTTGATGTTTCACCAAATTTGGGAAATTTTCAGCCATTATTTCTCGAAATCTTTTTTTCTGTTCCCATCTCTCTCTTTGCTCCTCCTGGCTCTCCCACCACACGTTAGACTGTTTGAATTTGTCCCTATGATACTGAGACTCTGTCCATATTTTTCTACTGTTTTTCTATTCTTCTGATTCATTTGTTCTGCCTCCAATGAATTTTTCATCTTAGATATTACAGCTTTCAGTTTTAGCATTTTAATGTGATTCTTCATTAGTTTCCATTCTGTGAGAGAGTCCTCATCTGCAGTTAAGTCATTAACACTCTTTTTTTTTTTTTTCCTTAAGATATGGGCTTTTGCCATATTGTCCAGGCTGGTCTGGAACTCCTCGACTCAAGCGATATGCCTGTCTTGGCCTCCTAAAGTGCTGAGATTATAGGTGTGAGCCACTGTGCTTGGCCTACTTTTCTTTGAACCTCTGAACATATGTAAAATATGTGCTTTAAATTCTGTGTCTGCAAATTCCAAGAAAAGGGTCACTTTAGGATTTGCTGCTACTCACTGGGTCATGCCTTCCTGTTTCTTCATATGTGCAGCAGTGCTGATTGTCCATGGGACAGTGTGGATGATGCACTGTAGACTCTTGGTTTTTATCTCCTCTGCAGAGTATTAAGTCACTGGTGACTCATCTGAGACTTTTTTTTCTTTTGAGACGGAGTCTAGCTCTGTTGCCCACACTGAAGTGCAGTGGCGTGATTTCAGCTCACTGCAACCTCCGCCTCATGGGTTCAAGTGATCCTCCTGTCTCAGCCTCCCCAGTAGCTGGGATTACAGGGGCCTGCCACCACGCCCAGTTAATTTTTGTATTTTTAGTACAGATGAGGTTTCACTGTGTTGGCCAGGCTGGTCTTGAACTCCTGACCTCATGATCTGCCTGCCTTGGCTTCCCAAAGTGTTGAGATTATAGGCATGGGCTACTGCACCTGGCCCTGAGATTGGTTTTACACGTTGGTGGGGGGTGGGGGAGGGGTGTCTATTTGGGTCTGCCCTCAGTCCTAGGACACGATTTCTACTCCTAGAGCGTGGCCCTTCTGAAGTTTCATTGGAATGCCCAAGGTGTTTAGAAATCCTCTCTAACACAGTAGGATTGGACTCAAACTCTGAAGTCTGTCCCTGAGGAGCAGCTGAAATCTCTGCTGTCTTGTCACCCTTTCCAGCTACTGGTTTCTGCTGCATTTTACAATGTCTCTCTTGTGAATTCACAACTTGGGGGTCAAAACAACTTCAGGGAAATTTATAAACCGATTTTAGGGGGTCCCTCCTTGTTAGATCCCCCTTTTC